CACAAAGCCGTCAGTCGGATTTGGACGATTGTTAGCTGACATGGTAATCGTCCCCTATTCAGAACTGAGAGTCAGGCTTCAACGGTTCCATCTTAATGTGGTCTTCACGGCATTTCTTTTTGCGTAAGATCTCGAGTCTGCTAACAAAGCTAGGTACACGAGAATTAGATGGCAGATTGTGAGATAGATAAATGGAGGGTGTGCTTGGGTTTACGAGTAACCGAGCCCACGTCAACCTGCGGCCCTTTACTTTGTCCTGCAGTCCGGAGGCGACGGGTGATGTGGTGAGAGAGTGTGAGGCAGGCGAGTCAAAAGTCCACTTCAATAAATACATGTCCGCACACAAGCCACCACTGGGTCTGTCTTCGGAAGCGTTGGTGGACATCTTTGACCGCAGTGGCTAAGCTATCAGATTCCTCAGTAAGTACACGTCCAGTGAACGGGCTTTTAGCAGTGGTTAAATGGGAGACTGTTATCGAACACATGCCCTAAACCAAACTGTCGGTGCCATTTTATCAAAACGAAATCGTAAATTAGATGAGCCCACAGGCGAGAATATTGGGAAGTCGAAAGTAATGAAATTGACTACTAAGGTTGGGATCATTTGAGTTTAACACCGCTGAGCTTGAAATGTAGCAGGATGCTAAAGGAACAATGTGTCTGACTTGTGCTCACAAGACGGTTCGTCAGTTGCGCAACAGGTTCTTGTTCGAAATAGTTTGCGAGCGAACCTTGGAGGCGCAATATCGGAAAGTGCGAAGAGCGACGATGAAACTGCCCACTGGGTCTCCAAAGCCAGCCAAGTGTAAGACGTAGTTTAGAATCGCCGCGACCCTCACCTTAGTGCAAGACTCAGGATGGACAGGACTGCAGTCCCGATCATGCTACTGTATGGTTGAAAACCTGGATGGTCTACACCAACCAAACAAAGAAGCCGAACCCAGCTGCGTCCGGAGAGAACTGAAGCTTAGGTCGCGAAACGTAATCCTAGACACGAAAGTCTTAGCAAGGACTGGAGTCCTCGGCATTCCCGCCATGCTGAGACAACTACAATCGTTGATGCAGTTGTGTTAGAGCGGCCGTCTCGTGATGATTTGCGTCTCCTACTCCAGCGACTATGCCACGGCGACGTCGCCGCGGTGTCCGCCGACGAGGACAAAAAGGGTTTCACCGAGACACGCCGATGTCTTCCCTCAATCATATTTAGATGAACCACGAACACCCGAGAGAACCCCATTCAGAATCGATAGACCTAGGGAACCGCCGTGAAGACTGGAGCAGCCATCTTCGAATCCTACCGAATGGTCGCTGCCAAAACAAAAAAGCGAATTGCAAGTCCCAAGCGTCGCGGACCGCCAACACAAATACCCAACGTCTTTCATCATCTCTATGCCCCATGCGGTAACAACAGGGCGACCGCATCTACTGCCCCCGAAAACCACGACCTCCACCACTGACGGGTAAACTCTCATTGTCTTGTCATCTACCACCACCACCAATACCACAACCTCCGGGGCGACAGAAATGTCCACCCAACCCGGCGCCCCATCACCAACATCAACCCCGATTCCGGCGATGAGGACTCGATCGCAACCTGTCTCCATTGCGACCTTCACATCATGCACTGCGATGCGAATCCACCGCACTGAGACCGGTGACACAGTGCCTGGAGCCCGACTTACACCCATCACAGGTGCGTCGTCTACTCACGATGTCAAAGGACGTTCACAAATCACACGAGTTTTTGCGGCCACATGCGCATCCACGACAGGCGAATTGACTGTAGTGTCGACACGCCAAACACACCTCGCACATCTGAGGGCCCCTCTACGACCGATGCCATCAACTCCTCCCATCAGCGTCTACACCACGAGCAGCATTATCGCCACCACCGCCACAACAAACACAGCAACGCAGCAGTTATCAGCCTGTCCTGCCCGCATTGCCACAGCACATTTAAGCCACGCATCGGCCTGGTCGATCACTTGCGAATTCATCACTGACACTGGCGAACCGGTGCAAGAAGTGCCAGT